TTTCAATCCCAATTAATTTCTGGGTCACAAAAGAATAAAGAATGACACAAAGATGAAGGTGAATATGGTCTCACCGATGAAAATAATGAACTCCTCAAATGTACTGAAGAAAACAAGAGAAAATTATTTCACATCTTAACCATCTAAAACAATATAGGAGAAGAAAACCAAGAACAAAAACACAAAAGAGACAAAATAACAACAATTTACATCATATGAAAAGTAAAGCAATTAAAAAAGAACAATGTTTATCAAGCTGTTACTTTGACGTTGAAAATAAGAAACAAAAAAAAACTTCCCTGTAACTAATAGAGTTTCCAAAAATGCAAGTTAAGCGGGAAGAGCCATTTCCTTTATTCAAATAACTACCAATGAAAACTTGACATATATCTGCTTTCACCCAATTCTCCTTCGCTCCAATTCAACATACTTTTGCTGCATTCCTAAATCTTAAAATTTATAGTTAATCAAAATTCTAAAACAGAATTAATATATTAAAATTAAAATCAAAGCATAAAGAATAAATTGTTTACGAACACATCCATAAATACATAGACATCAAGCATGGGGACAAAGGCTTGGATTTTTCGAAGAAGTGAATGAACCTTACTCGGGAGTTGACTGACTGAATCTGCAGCAACCTTACCATCTTCTACCAATTTGGTCTCTGAACTACCCGTCTTAGTATGCCTTCGCCTCTTAAAATTCTATTAATTTGGTCCCAGTTTCATTTTGTTAATTGGCATGAAATTCTGTTTGAAAGAACTTTGATTGATGGGGATTTATCTATGTTTTGCAGAAGGTCTATCTGCCATATTAATTTGTCAAAATAAGGCCCTACACTACACAAGGTATTGGAATCTACTAGTAGAATGAATGTTTTACAGTTTTTCTGATTAAATCCACTTGAAGAAGTGAAATATCTTATGGTATATGTGGTATTACTTCCAGCTATGTAATTAAATAATCCTTTCTTCAATGAACCACATCGTGGAATAATACAAAATTTGTTTTCACTAGTCTGTTTGAACATAAAAATCATTGTGTTATGCAACTTGTTCCGAGGAAGATGATTTGCTGTTAATTTTGGTGGCTGGTAGTTAGAATGCCTCTTTATTCATGGTTGAGACACCAACATATTTTCTATTTTCTATTTTCGGGGACATATTAGCAAACAGTTGGTGTGCATAATTTACACATAAATTAAATTAAAGAAAAAGAACAACATAGGAACCATACACCGACACAACTTGTAAGACATGGAAGCAGCTATCTACACAACTTGTTACGATTTTGAAATCAAAGCCCCAATGGCACAACTATCTTGGGTAGCTATGGATATTAATTTTGACTGATAAAAAAAATTAATAACAGATATTCAATGGTTAGGGTTTTGAAATAAAAGCACCAATGGCACATTTAGATGAAGCTTAGAGTTAGCAACAAACCTGAACTACAGAAAAGTGTTCTCGAAAAAATTCGATTCGACTGGAAGGGAAGGGAAAAGACGATGACTAGGTCTTTGCTCACAAACACATGGTGGAGATGTCCAGAGAGTGAGAGCTTGTGAAGAAGATGTCGACATGGTTGAAGCCCTGATCGCCGACGAGGCTGGTGGTCCTCGGAAGCTTCGGCTATGGCGGAAGAGAAGAGGAAGGAGAAGTGCCAAAGAGCTTGTGAAGAAGATGTCGACATGGTTGAAGCCCGGATCGCCGACGAGGTTGGTGGTCCTCGGAAGCTTCGGCTATGGCGGAAGAGAAGTGGAAGGAGAAGTGCCAACAAGAGGGCCAAACACGACTAATTCAATTTTGTTCCCCCTTGTAACCGGCTACACCAGTTGCCAGAGTTAAATTATTTAAATAATTTAGTTATGACCTGATCATGAGGTAATATGGTATAAATAAATAACTGAATATAACTAAGTTATGAGTCAATATGATAATGATTATGATTAATATGATATTGGTTATAACATTAAATCATATAAGTTCATAACTAAATGTATGGTACATCTAAATGTACCATAGCATCACCCCATATTTGGTGGTAGCTTAGATCCTATCAAAAAGTTTTTGAACCAATAAGTCCCATTTATAGGTAAAAAGACGTTTTGCCCTTTAATCCCAAAACTAAGAATATTTTCAATTTCAAAACTGAAAATGTTCTCAATTTATAATTATCAAAACTAAGAAATTTCTTAATTTTTTACTAATATGAACTAAGAATATTATCAAAACTAAGAAATTTATAATTATCAATTTTGAGAAATTTCTCAATTTTTTTCATGATTAAAATTGAGATAATTATAAACTGAGAAGGTTTTCAATTTAAAAAAACCCTAAATCTCTCTCTCTCTCTCTCTAATGGGTAGTGGCATCTGTGAACTCAGTGAAAACCGAGACCTCACAATCAATGAAGTCATCGCCTTCCGGACGAGTCTCTAACGCGGGATCTGAGTTCTCATTTTCTGGTGGACTTTCATAAGCAATAGCTGCAGATCCACGCAATTCTTCACCCAACTCTCCTAGAAACCCTAAATTTCAGGCGGTGATAAGGCAAATTGGTGGCGATAGAGAGAGGTAGATCTGTTCAGAGATAGATTAACAACAATCTCAACCTCACGCGTGAGCCACTTGCAGATTTGAGTTCTTCATCTTTATCAACGACGACAACATCGCAGATCTGAGTAAGGAAAAGAGGCGGTGGTTTTGGGGGCGGAGCTGGATTTCCAACAACGGAGCTCCGTCGAGGACGTCCATGGAGGACTTGAAGACGAAAGGGAGAGTGAAGGCGACATCGAGACAGCTTGCCTTGCTTGGAGTTTGTTAGAAGGGTAAATTGATCTATTAAAAATTAATGGGACTTGAGAGAGCAAATAATTTTATCTAGAACTTAATGGATTATAAGTTCACAAAATGGGACTTGTATGTAAATGGCCCCAAAAGTAATTACTTAAAATAAGAAATTAGCTTTTTTAAATTAGAATTTGGCTCGAAATTTGTTGAAACTAATGTGAATGTTCTAATTAATCATAGAGAAGAAGGTTGTTAGATATTAAATTTTTTTTTTCTCACACATTAGAGCATCTCCAATGGCAAGCTATTGAAGCTGCCATTGCCAAAATTTAGTAATAGTCTCCAAAAATCTTATTCCAGTGGACTGCTATAACCCTTGTTAAATTTGACAATTGCCATTTCCTCAAATTTGGCAACACATTTGGCAATCATCATCCAAATAAATAGAATTTGGCTCCAAAATTTCTATGGAACAAACAAACACATTGGGAAAAATCCAGCAGCAATACAATAATAATAAAAAATACTATTTTCTAGATTTTTGGAGATGGGGATAAAGGCAAAACCCCCCCTCCAAACATAACATATATATATATAACAAATTTAGAAAACAACAACAAAAACCTATATCCAAATAACACATACAAAATTAGAAGGAAAGTTTGTTGAAATTTGCCAAAATGACATGTGATTATTGGAACACAATTGCTATAATTTAGCAATTTACTACTATTCATTCTAAATTATAATTAGGTGATCCAAAATTTCAACAAGACCTATAACTAATGAAAACCCCCAAAATAATGAAAATGTAACCAAGAAGAGACTGGTACGACTGTCACACAGTTGGCCTATTGGGACTCTAGATAATGTGTCATAATAAAGTGTTGTTTTGAGAAATGTCCAAAATAAAACAAAAAAAACAAAAAAACAAACAAAAAAAAAAAGAAAGATTTTTTTACTTATTAAGAAAATATATATAAAAAAATAAAGAAATAATGTGGCATTCAGGTTTAAGAGATAATTAAAGAAGGATAATGCCAAGTATAATAAATTAATTTTTTTTGTATTTCCTAAAAACAAATAAAAACAACATATGTTATGAATGTTTTTAATTATTTTTTTTTTCACTGCTTGTGTGGAAAGATGTGGTTCTTAAATTTTTTTCTTGTCAATTTTTTTTTAATAAACAATTAATTATATTCATGATTTTTTTTTTAAATTATAGTTTTCACTGGTTTATCAGTCACTTCTTAATTTATGAATTCATATATCTAACAAACTTCAAAGTTTGCAGAGAGTTCATTCTAGCCTCATTGTTTTTGTGTTTTTTGCTTTCAATTATTGATTGGAGCACTTTCATAAACTATGCTTATATCCTAAATTTGTAGAGAGAGAGAGAGAAAAATTTGGGACAAATTATAAAAAAAAATCTCAAGATTTTGTGTATTTTTCAAATTAAACTCCAAAGTTTTAATTTCATTAATTTAAATCTTGAATTCCATTCCATGTCGCAATCTACGCGCCTCCGTCTATTGAACTAACAGAAAACTCAATTTTTTGCCAAATGCATGCCAAAATTATGTTGAGTCCCACATATAACCCCCAAATCTCTATTAAATGTTTAAAATATATTTTTCATAGAATTTAATAGTTAAAATACTATTTTTTCTGTCAATTTATTTAATAGTTAAAATACTATTAAATTCGAAAAATATTAATATATAATAATTAACATATATCAATTACAAAAAAATATATATATATATATATATTTATATTACTCCGATCAACTGACCGGACGGTTGATTAGTTCAAATTTTTCCACCTTTAATAAAACTTTCAAAACTGACCGTGAATTAACTTTTAAAACTATAAACAAACATCCGACCCAAATATAGCGGTGGAATCACGGTTTGAAAACCATTCCAAACCGGGAAAATTATTCAATACTCCCGGAACACCACGTGTCTATACTCCAAACCAATCATCAATTAGTTAGCCTCATGTTGTCCCCCCATCTCCAACATAAATTGTGGACCCTTGTGTCTCTCCACCAATCAAAACATTATGAAGCACCACGTCTCCATACTCCGGGAGTACTGAATAATCACCCTCCAAACCGGGTCCAAAATTCTCTCTCCCCGCATTTTCTCTCTCTCCATAAATACCTGCCCCCCTCTTCCTCACCTTCCACATCCTACATCTCTCTCTCTCTCTCTACACACGGCGGGTCTTTTGTTAGAATGGCAAAGGAAGTTGAGAAAACAGTAGTAACAGAGAAGGAGTTCTCAGCCAAGGACTACCACGACCCGCCTCCAGCTCCGCTAGTGGACGTGGTGGAGCCGACAAAATGGTCGTTCTACAGAGCTATCATTGCAGAGTTCATAGCCACACTTCTCTTCCTCTACATCACCGTCCTCACCGTCATCGGCTACAAGAGCCAGATTGACCCCATCAAGAACCCTGACCAGTGTGGCGGTGTCGGCATCCTCGGCATCGCATGGGCCTTCGGCGGCATGATCTTCGTCCTTGTTTACTGCACCGCCGGTATTTCTGGTTAGTATAACCTAAAACCATTATTTACCATTTTACTAATTTAAACCCTAATAATTATACATATTTTTTTATTAGTTAAGATTGTCACTGACCTTTGTAAACAATAATTATTCTACCTGCACAAAAATATTTGGCTGAATTGATGTAGGATTAATAAAAAGTGAGGGCATGATCATTTCATTCTATGATTTGAGGGAAATAGGAGAGGGAAAGAAAAAGGGTTTTTAGGGTTCATTCAAGAAGAAGAAGAAACCTTTGAGTATTTTTTATTTTTTATTTTTTTGTAAATGGAGATGTTGAGAGTAAATTTTGTTGTGATGGGTGTTATGGCACTTGTTTTGGCTCTGGTTGTTCCTTCTATCAATGCTCATGCTCATGTCCCTGCCCCTGCTCCTGCACCTGCCCCTACAAGTGATGGGGTAGCAGTAGATCAAGGAATAGCATATGTGCTCATGCTGCTTGCTCTGGCTCTTACCTACATCATTCACTGATGATCATTGCCCTTACCCCATAAAAAAAAAAAAAGAGACAGAGTTGCTCTGTAGAATTCATGATTGTTTACTCTGCTTGTTCCATCTTATATTTTTTATTTTTAACATTTAATTCAAACCCCCATTCTTTTTGCAATGTCAAAAAAAATTAATAAAAAGTGAGATTCATCTCATGTAAAAGGGTTCTGTTTAATTTTATATTCAATTTTTATGTTTCTAATTATTTATTTTGGAAATAATTGAATTGTCCAATATTTTGATGTGAGCTCAAAATAAGATGATTCATCCTATTTATTTATTTTTAATTTGGATCATTTACAATCATATCATCTCACCTTATTATATTATTTCGTCATTTTTGTTTGGGTGAAGTACCAATAAATGCTAAATTTAGATTTTGTGAACTGATTAGTCCCTAGGTTTTTCTTAAGGGATGGGGGCAGAACACGTGTGTGTGGAAAACAAAGGGTGAATGTGGGATTTTGCAGTAGGCTGAAATTACACATTTGCACCAAGCTCACTATAGATTTTTTGTGTTTTCCCTCCTTTGCAATCGAATCTCACACTATCAAGGTAGGAAAGATTCTGTATTCCCAATGTTGAATTGTTGCGTAGTTAATATGACATTGGGTTCCAATGTTCTTCTTTGCAACTTCCAGAAGTCGTGAGATTGAGGCACATTAGGATACAGAAACCCTACATTGTGTGAACGAGGGATTGGGTGTTAGAGCCAGCAGACGTTGAATTTGTATTGTTGAATGGGTGTTGCGGAGATGACGACGCCACGACCAAGTTAATGATGTTTATTTGAAAAGGAGTCGGGAATGGGAGGCCTATTGATAGGGTTTTCTAGCGTAGAGTTAGGGGTTGTAACGTTGGGGTTTGATACTGATGTTGTATGCCTTTTTTGTGGTATGTGCTTGGTATTTGGTCCACCACTGTTAGATTTTTGAATTTTGTTGGGTTTAGATTGTTTGGCAACGTCGTCTGGTATTCAATCTTGTGTTGATGTGTGTGTGTTTTTTTTTTGGTAGGATCAACCATTCTGTGTTTCTCTTTCACTTTTAGGTTGGGGTATTATCCCTGTGGCACATTTTGCGATTGGATTGTGATGTTAATGGGTGATATATGAGAATTCCACACACACATTAAACCATATAACCAAAATGTGGTCCTGGTTATGTGATCCTAATGTTTATGTGGTTTGGCATTACATGTTGGCCAACCTAGGTGTAGTGTCCTGTGTTGTGGAACTGTAGATGTGTTGGATTTGCTTATATAACACGGCATTAACACCGTACTCAACTGTGTCGTTGAACGATATGAAAATAAGGAGTAGTGGTTATATTGTCAATGTGTATGGATATTGTTCTGTCGAGGTTTTCTAGCTTTTTTTATCGTTTTAATGTGTTCTTATTTTTAAACCAGTATGGGTCAGAATGGGTGCCTGATGTGTTGTTGTGGGTGTTGTTTGTATGTGATTTGAAAATTTGCAATAGTTGTTTAGGTCTTTGATGGGAAATGTTATATTGGTTATTATGTGTTCCGTCACACTTCTTTGAAAATGTATTGTTTGGGTGAAGTACCAATAAATGCTAAATTTAGATTTTGTGAACTGATTAGTCCCTAGGTTTTTCTTATGGACCCAAAAGTCCTGTTATAAGTGAAATTACTTTAAGGGATGGGGGCAGAACACGTGTGTGTGGAAAACAAAGGGTGAATGTGGGATTTTGCAATAGGCTGAAATTACACATTTACACCAAGCTCACTATAGATTTTTTGTGTTTTCCCTCCTTTGCAATCGAATCTCACACTATCAGGGTAGGAAAGATTCTGTATTCCCAATGTTGAATTGTTGCGTCGTTAATATGACATTGGGTTCCAATGTTCTTCTTTGCAACTTCCAGAAGTCGTGAGATTGAGGCACATTAGGATACAGAAACCCTACATTGTGTGAACGAGGGATTGGGTGTTAGAGCCAGCAGACGTTGAATTTGTATTGTTGAATGGGTGTTGCGGAGATGACGACGCCACGACCAAGTTAGTGATGTTTATTTGAAAAGGAGTCGGGAATGGGAGGCCTATTGATAGGGTTTGCTAGCGTAGAGTTAGGGGTTGTAACGTTGGGGTTTGATACTGATGTTGTATGCCTTTTTTGTGGTATGTGCTTGGTATTTGGTCCACCACTGTTAGATTTTTGAATTTTGTTGGGTTTAGATTGTTTGGCAACGTCGTCTGGTATTCAATCTTGTGTTGATGTGTGTGTGTTTTTTTTTTGGTAGGATCAACCATTCTGTGTTTCTCTTTCACTTTTAGGTTGGGGTATTATCCCTGTGGCACATTTTGCGATTGGATTGTGATGTTAATGGGTGATATATGAGAATTTCACATACACATTAAACCACATAACCAAAATGTGGTCCTGGTTATGTGATCCTAATGTCTATGTGGTTTGGCATTACATGTTGGCCAACCTAGGTGTAGTGTCCTGTGTTGTGGAACTGTAGATGTGTTAGATCTGCTTATATAACACGGCATTAACACCGTACTCAACTGTGTCGTTGAACGATATGAAAATAAGGAGTAGTGGTTATATTGTCAATGTGTATGGATATTGTTCTGTCGAGGTTTTCTAGCGTTTTTTATCGTTTTAATGTGTTCTTATTTTTAAACCAGTATGGGTCAGAATGGGTGGCTGATGTGTTGTTGTGGGTGTTGTTTGTATGTGATTTGAAAATTTGCAATAGTTGTTTAGGTCTTTGATGGGAAATGTTATATTGGTTATTATGTGTTCCGTCACACTTCTTTGAAAATGTATTATTGGGTCTTCCATAAGCTTGTGAGATTGTATTAATTGTTTCCGTATGTAAGGAATCGTTAAGGCATACACGTTTACATTGGAAGTGTGTTTATGGAGAGTGATAACAATTATTGAGTCCATGAATGGAACAATGTTTTGCACGTTTGGTGAGCGAGTCTTGTACAGTCACAACCTAAGCACACTGCAATGCACATGACAAAGAATATGTTATTCAACTCGTTGTCAACATGATACAAACATGTGTGTATTACACATTAGTATACAGTCGTTATAAGGAAATGATGAATTCAAACGTCGATCCACCTTGAACTTATTGTAACCAGGTACGTCGAACAACATGTATACCAGACCCGGCACCAACCCATCAAACTTCCCACAAATAACATCAACCATTCTCTTGAACGTCGATGCATAATGCAACCGAATAGCAGCATTGGTTTTGTCACACGTGCACAACAAAAAAATCCCAATTCCATGCATTACACATTATGGTGATGTATAATTTTTTTGAATTAGACACCATTACAGTTAACTTCTTGATTGAAAAAAAAAAAAAAAATGAAACCAAAATTGAAACAAAACCACCATGATGACCAAACGTGCTAACGTGCATCAGTAAACCAACATAGACACATTGAGACCACCGAATGCGAAAAAAATTGCCAACCCGTGTAGAAAACCTTATCGATCAACCACCAAACAAATCCACATTACACATAAACACCCACCATTAACACAACACACGACAAACATGAAAAATGACCCCCAACCAATAACAATACCCACGCCCCTATCCAACTAAAAAATCACATCACACCCCTGTAATGTTACGATCGCCAAATAATCTACCAAACTTCGGCCCACACAAACTTACACATGTGAGAGATTTGACAGAAAATTTAGTAGATTATTTGGGATCCCTAACATCACTCTTTATCATTTATTTATTACAAGAGTAGTTAATATGTGCTTTTACAATAAATGCTAAAAATATTTAAAAAGATTATGGTCTTGTTTGTTTTTTTTTTTAAATATTTCGATATTTCTTCAGAAAATTATTTTCTTATTGCTTCTTATTTGCGATGGCTTCCAAGACTTTCGACTTTTAGGTTCTCCTTTGTCTTCCTTCTTATATGTAGTTACGTCCATACCTATGTTTGTGTTTGTTTATCTCGGTTATATACAATTGTTATACAAGTTTCAAATTTCCAATTCATTCCGAAACTAAACGAAGTTTAGGATTTGAGGATTTATTTTGATGTTTGTTAATTGTGAAAATCTTGATGAAGCTTGATTTTGTGAATTGTGACATGTTCTTGTATGAAAGGAACTGCTTTTCTTGATCTCGATTGGATTATTTAATTTTTATTATTATTTATTTTTGAAAAAATCTCTATTGGAGTTTTGTCATTTAATTGTGTGATGTAAGGGAAAGACTTTAAATTGTACTTGAAGGGTTAAGTTGCTTGTAGGTATTAATAGCAAAATCAAAGAATCAAACTTTGATTAGATAGTATATTAGTATCTACTTGTTTTTATATCTATATATGTTCTTCAAAACCAAACATTCTAGGGTTTGGGAAAGATTCCAGCATTCACCCGAACTTCTTCCACCCAATTTGATTCGGATTTCAGAGTCCCTCTCCTCCAGATTTGACATTCATTGCAACCTATGAAATGCAAATACTTCTAGATGAGAGTTGTATTTGTATCGAGTATCAATACTTTTTGGATACTAGCATAAACCTATTTGATACTTCTTAAACGTATCTATAATTTGAAATTTATTTTATTTTATTTCAATCAAGTACTAAATTGGCTATTCAATTGATCCTGAAATCAGAATATGTGGAGAATTGATCTAAAAGAGAAGATCAAAAAGTTTTGAGAAGAACTAGAAGAGAAGAATACAACAGTCAAAACCTTAATCTCACAAAAACGGCCACAACCTTTAACTACTCAATACTATTGTCTCAAAGCTAACCGAAAACTATTATATAGAGCCATATATATAGGCAACGTAGGAAACCCTAATTAAAAATAACGAAGGAAATCATGACATTATTTGGAAGCCTAATCTCTAATAAAATAAGTAACTAAATATACTAAGGTTTTAATTAAATTATTAATAAAGAAAATAAATAAACATAAATTAAAAAAATTACAAATAAATAAAATCCACATATCACGTTCCGCATCGTCTAGATCATGGA